CCGTCAGTGACATCTGAGTTTCTCCAGCTTAGTCCCCCAATGCCTGAAATGACCCCTTCAAGCCTCAAAATATATGAAAGTCTGAAAGCTGTTAGATGGGAGTGACTAGCCGACATGCTTCTGCTCCAGCAGCTCCAACAGCTTACAGCTGCATGTTGATGTACTAGGCATTCATTGCTGGTGGATAAACTCAGCGCCTTCTGCTGTGGGCATCAACATAAGTCACAGCCCCTCTGAGACGTGGCAGTAAACACGCTTCACCAGCAGAGTCCGAAGCGTGCAGCGACGCAAGACAATGCGGCTCCCCTACGTTCTCATCCTCTTGCAGGGATCCTGTTGGTGTGCAGTGGCATCCCCTACGAACAACTGCAGGACATGTCAAGCACCAACACTGACCAGACCAAGTCGGGCTTCTTGATCGCTTTTAGCTGACTTCTGCTTCCAAATACCTTCCCCGTGCACCACGGTGAAAGCTCTGCTGTAACCATGCCACACATACTCAAGGTAGCCTGTTCTCTCACAGCTACATGGAGCCACAATACTGTAAAACATGTATGGCCATTGTGAGCAGATCAGCCTTCAAGAGACGCAGGGAGCAGCTATGGATCGGGAGAGGCATTCTCCAGAGGAGAGCCACCCAGTCAGAATAGACTTCTCTGCTTCTGCTGGTTTAAATCACCTCACTCTATATTCTGTGTTGTCTTATGTAGCATGCAGTTATGTAAATTTATAAATCATACACCAATTAGCACACAATTTCATAAATTTAGTAACAGTGAAAAAAGAGGTTTCTAACTAACCAGGCTGTGCTCTCTCCCCCTCAGACAGTACAAATTCAAACACTGCCTGGGGGTCTTATTTCAGAAAATCTCTGCTGCAACTTCTAGAGTTAACCCTGGGCTCATGTGCGCTTTCAAGGGATAGCCTTCAGGTATCTCAGGCGCAATCTCTCCCAAGCATAGTTAAGCCCTTTCTTCTCCTTCCTTAACACCAAACCTCCACAGCTCATTGGATCATTGCAAATTTTGTTTTGCTTGTTTCTCCCTTATTCAGATTCTTGCCATATCCAGTCTTACATTCTTCTTTTATCTAAGTCCACACCACCATCCCTCGCTAGCAATTAAATTCAGTCTATGCCTGAGTTATACCTGGGTTCCTCCCTGTTACCCTCTCTGTGTTCTGGCTTGCCTGTCTAACTACTGCAAAGGGGAGCAGCTGAAGTGAGGTTGTTTCCTTCTTTCCCTCATTTGCCAGGTATCCTTTGGACTGTAGCTCCCCAAATGCATGAAAACCATCTGGAAAAACAGTAGGTGGTCATAAACCTCTTATGGGAATTGGGACATAAAGACTTTTCTCACTCCAGGATATAAGCACAAAATTCTCCTTCACCAACTTACTGTATTTTAACAACTTGTCTCTACTGTCTGGCTCAGCTCCACTCAACCTTTACTTTCTGTCATCCTTTGGCACAGTTCTCTGTCTTGCGTCCTTGTTCTTTCTTACCTTTATCTCCATCCTTTCTTCCCCACTCTTTAATTCCACCTTTTTGTCCCAAAGCATGGCGCTGGCTTTCCACTTCTCTTTCGTATTCTGAGACCTCTCCCCCACCTCACGCTCCAAAAGAGGTCTTGCTCCTTGTCACAGAAAAACCCATGTCCTGGAGAGGAAGAGTAGGCTTAAAACAAGCTCCTTGTCTATCTTAGCAAACTGGAGATTCACAACATATATGACACGACGATGTGGAAAGTGGAACATATTGTCAATAGCAGAATTGACATCTAAGCTGGACAAACCAAATGAGAAGATAACTCAAATAAAAGTCTGGAAGAATAAATGAAATCCCCAGATAATTTATTAGATTAAGACCTCACACACGTATATAAATATATGCTCAAGATGGGATTCAACAGTGATACTGGAGAGGCTAGAAGTGGAAAGGGTGTGACTGCTACTGGTCCACGACGTGCAAGCTGCACAGAAGCAATGACTACACAAACACTCAGCTAGTGTGTGTGCATGAGCCACTTGGGAAGAACACGAAGTGAAGGCGTGGGTGGGAGCCTCAGCAGAAGTCATGTTACTCCACAAAGTCTCATGTAAAACACAGATCGATGTGTGGCTGAAGTACATTAACTGGGAACACTCTGGACAAGCAGTCTATGGCTGGACTAAGTTCCCAGAGGCAGCTTCGACTCAAAAGGACACTGTCAAGTGATTGCTTTTGCTAGTTTAATTTTTGCATTTCCTCTACTGTTTTAGCAGATGGAAAACAATTCCCCTCCCAGTCCCAGCTACTGATTTTGTCCTTTCCTATTTGACAATCATTGATTTTTTTTTTCTAAGGCTATAAATGTTTTAATAACTTCAACTTTGTAGTGCCTCATAGCAAAATATATTTGCTTGCACTGACTGCTAAACACTATTCCTAATGTACTGCTTATAACTAGAACAAGAGCCAGCGTTATAAAAAATGATTATTCATAGGGTCTACCGAATTAATAGCTTTTGCTTCTTCATCCACATCTCACAGACAGTTAAAACATGCAGGTCTTCACCCATCAGACATTTCAACCATCTTAATTCCAGACATCTCTGCTTCATAAGGGTATGCCTCCTGTGTAGCTCTGACTGATGGACAGCACCTTGAGCATAGTGCCCACAACCCTAGCAATGTCCTTTTAAAAAGAGCTGCTACCAAAATAGAGATTCAAGTCAAAAGTCACCTTCAGAATTAGAATTGTTAATGGACAAAATGGATCATAAGGAATCCTAAAGCAGTGAAATATTGGCACCCACAAAGAACCAAAGAACAGAATGCTCCCACACAGTGTTCTCAACTGGGTACATAAAGGCACCTTTCAAGAGATATACATGTATTTTTTGCTGTTTCAGAAGGTCAGTTAGCACTTATTAGAAAAAGCAATTAAAGTTTCAGTCAAACTGGAAAAGAAAAGAAATCGGACTGAAATCAGAGAACTGTTTCTTTATAAATGCCAAACCTTAACAAAAGAAAAACCCCAACAAAACTAAAAACCACCACAAAACAACCCCAAACTCTAAGATCTGTGTGGTGATCACTTCACGGTTTCCCACAGTTTTCCTGCTGCTTTTTGTACATTTTCCTCTTCTTTCCCCTCCCTTCCTCTGCCCTTTCAAAGAAGCAGACCACTCAGCCAGCAGAAGGAGAAAACCTGTCTCCCCACCTGCTATACTTGGGTCAGGGCACTGAATACATCTTTGGGGCTTTAATCAGAAACCTGTGCCTTCGCAGGCTCAGGGAGTAGAACAAGAGGGACATTCAACAGCAGATGGACATATTCAAAAGAACTATAATACTTCACTGACAGCAGGACAGACCAACCAGGGCCTTTCCACAGTAGTCATTTTCTGGTCCTGTAATGCTGCTGCCCTCCTTTAAAATCCTCCAAGCAGCTTTTAAAATTCAGCTGGGATCTACAAAAAGAGTATCACCTCATCTGTGATTAAGACTGGGCCTGAATGAAGCAGCTCAGAGTAACTTGAGATTCATCTTCCCCTTTATTCTCCTTTGGTTTCATCCCCATAAAAGCACGGTGCTGCCAGGGACACGTGCTAGATACCCTGCACTGACGCTCTCTGCGGAGATGCTCGGCAGGGCCCACTGCCGAGCCTTGCTAGCTCCTTGCAGAGCACCAAACATCGCACAGAAGCGAGCATGCGGGAGGCAGGCAGCAGCCATACCCAAGGATCAGTACCGCAACTCGCTGCCATTAAGATAAGCAGGGTTTTGCTAAAGAGACTGTCAGAAAAGCTGTACTGGCCCACGAAGCAATGTTTGGGAGCAAATGGTCTAGAACTTGCCTGTACTGGCTCAATTCTACCTTCCCCTCGCTGCAATTTTACTGTGCAAAATGGGTATTTTAGCCTCATATTTCTAGGAATACACGCCGGTGGCTACTGTTACAATAAAATATGAACACTGCATTGTGGAGAAAATGACCATTAATCCTATAATCTGCAGTCACTCTCACCAATTCGGCACATTTCTTTAAATAACCAAGTACATGCAGTAGATGGAAGTGCATTTAAATAAACTGAAATAGATACAGCATGAATAATTAAAGCCGGCAGGGAAATGTGCATTGCAAGCCACTAGTGGAAATAATTACTGATTTGTCTTATTTACAATGGAGCCTGGATACAGGATCAAAATAGTGCAAGTTAGTGAAAATGTCTTAAGACTGTTCCTATACTACCACTACTACATATTTAATCTTGAAAAGTACATCAAATAGGTTTTGGACCACTACAATGTCTGACCCTGTTCTGCTCTTTCACAGTTCGGTTACCCAGCACATAAACTCTGCGAAATAGCACTGATTTAAAGAGGAATGTATTTCAAATGGATGTCTAGTACATCAACTTGCAACATTGTCTATTAATGTTATCAGACACTGTATAGTTGAGCTTACGATATACTGCCTAAAAACCCAGCGTGTTAAATATCAGAATGTTGAAGGAAAAGGTAAATCATATCATCACTGCACAAAGTACTAAAGTGCTTGTATCTTTATAATATGCCAGGTTTTAAACATACTTGTTTAATTAGAAAATAATCCACCTTGAATGTGGCAGTTCTTGAATGCTAGGCAGTTCTTGCAAACTGCTTTAGAGCTAGAAATCGATAATGAAATATACTTCCGATATGAGGCTGGCAAAACTATGACTTCAATCTATTAGAAAATGCTGTAGCTTAAAAAAAAATTCTATTTTAGAATGATTACGTGGCACGTGAAAGGCTTAGAAAAAGTTAATGCTTTCTGATTGGTCTACCCCAACAATGTTCTTCCACTGTGATGACTAAACCAAAATGAAACTGGATGCTAATTAGCTATGTTTTAGATGAGGGAAGACAAGCAGTTGTCACTGAAATAATTTAAAAATGGTACTTCAAAACAAACAAATCAGGAATACAAAGGTCCTAAAAATTCCACAGAAGGGCTGTAGACCAATGAGGTGTGTCAAATGAAGAAAATCTCCTCAAGGAGTCGGCTCTCCTCTAGCTCATCTGCTCTGCTTCTGGAACTGCGAGGGGTCTGGTACCAAGAAGACGGCCTGTGGCTCACACGATGAGGCATCTGCATTTTGCTCCTGTCATAAGATTCTCTGCGGAGGTGTCCTGGGGCAGATACTCGACTCATAGCTTCAACCAGGTCAAGCAGACAGGTTTCGTGCCTACAGAAACACACCAAGAAAATGGAGCTCCATTAAGCGTTACAGCATCATGCAGGAATTGAATCCAGTCTTCCTGACTTCGTAATTCAGACTAGACCTAGATTTGTCTGACGGGGGCCACCAGCACAGAACTAATTTTGCTGTATGGGTTCCTATGAGGAATACCAACACACAGGTAGTGAAAAAGAGGCCAGCAAAGCATGGATGCTCAGGTTATTTCAAGCAGTTTCATCAGCTTTTCCATTTGAGGTGTGTAACGTCTTAGTCGCACTCCAGAGACTGAGGTCAGACTTCAGAGATATGACAGCCAGATACACCAAACAGGTACAAGGCAGACCCACAGATGCAATGGTAAAGTGACTTATACACATGCTGCACTTTTTTGAATAGACCTCTACACTTGATTTACTTTCCCAGGGATTTGAAAACAGCAGGAGACTTTATTATTATTGCCACAAACTACACGTGCTTCCTGTAAATCTCTGTGCGCTATATGGAGTCTGTCTGGTGGAAGCACTGAAGGAATATAATCTAAGCAAGACAATACAAAATCAGCGCTTGAGGTACCAAGAGAAAAGGCAAAGGTGCTAAACATTACTCAGGCTGTCCTTTAAGTGTGAGTACAGATGTAGGGGAAGGTTGCAAGCCAATGTTAGCTGGTAACACACACTGAATAATGGCAGTTACTTCAGACAGAGACTTCCTATTAATATTCACATAAGACAAGACCTGATCTAAATACCAGCACAGGATTGATCATTACAATATATTTTCTCCTGTCCAATTTTAAATGTCTTAAACAATACCATTTCCACTGCTTCCCCAGGGAAGATGTTCTCCAGTCTCAGAGATATCACTCAAGATTTTACCCAAAAGTCCCTTTTGTTCCGTCATGTTGTTAGCACCAACCTGCCTGACATTCCCAATGCTGAAATAATTCACACATTCAATCACTTACATGCACAGAACATTATTCACAGCACCCAACCTAAGGTATCAGTGTAGCTGGTTGGTTTCCATAGGGTCCCTCTCTTGTAAGCAGAAAGAGTTCATCCATAACGTGAGGAAACCCCTCAAGCTGTTTCCTGCTTCGAGCAAAAACCCGTTTTCCTTTCGGGACAGCGGGAGCCTAGGAAGACTAAGTAAGTAGGTCAGACAGCTAGGGTAGGTTCCTCAACTCAGATGGGATGAAAAATTCTTAAGTACAAATATACACAACAGTTTGTTGATGTGAAAGATTCGCAGCAGCCAATGTATCTCCCAGAGTCAGGCTACCACTTGTGCTGTCCAACAGCATCAGGCAGCAGCATCAGGTGAAAAGACTTCATTCCTTCAACTAGCAACACTATGCAAAATATCCTTCACTAGCTCCAGCGGTGAGGGTTACGATCCAACCATCATCAGAAAACTGGCCATGACAAGGCAACTCGTAGCTGTGTCTGACACACAGAAACACTTCCTCAGCTCGAAGGGGTGAACTGTGGTACTGATGTCAATGGCAACCACTGGAGTTGTGCTATGATTGTTTGGAAAAGTAATCTCTTTCACTTCCTTCAATTTTTATTGTTCCTTCCAACCTAATGGAGGAAATGCCATCATTTCTAACACAGCCGACTTGACATTACTGCCTCACAGGGCTCTCTCCTCTATTTGACTATCTATAGATTGTTTCATTTTTCTTTCAATGTACTAGCTTGCATTTCACCCAATCAGAAACCCATTTTTCAAATTTCTTTTCCACATTTTAAGCTTGTCTATGTGCCTTTCTATTATCTGTCTGTTTATGTCATCTCGAATAGCCAAAAATGAGTGACTCCAAACAAAAAAATGCAGCTTTAGTTTTGTTTCAATTGGACCATGTAAGTGGCTAACCCTACTGAAGTGTGATGCCTTACAGTTACCCTAATCAAAAATTTCAGAAGGACACGGTTGTTTTGGGTAGCTGAGCAAGACCATTTTAGAGGGGTCTGCTGTTTGCATCAGCATTCAGAAAGTACTCTCTAAAAACTGAGGCTCCTTAAAGATATCTCCAATATAAGATGGAATAAGCCTCACTGATAGTGAGAACTAGCACATAGCTATATTAGACTTTTCACATAGAGAAAGTTTTGAACTAGACTCTATATAGATATACACAGATGCTTTGAACCCCAAAGAAACCCAGTTAACACATACACTGGTTTCATTAGCCACACCTCAAACTTCTTTTTAGATTAATCTAGTCTAGCATACAAATGCTTATCTCCCCTGACTGTAGTGCTATCATAAAATTTCAATTTCTCCAGCAGCCACATTCAATCACAGATTAAGCAGGGGGAAACCAAACCAGTCAGTGCATTTATAGCAAACGTGCAGGCCCTAGATTTCAGCAGTACCTTCGAGTTCATTTCTTCTGCAAGTTTATCTAAGTTTTACAGCATTTCTGCTATCAGGAAGGCTAAATGATTTGGCAGATTACAAGCACAGCAAATAGCAAAGATTATGTAAAAGACCAGGTGTTGTAAATCAGTCTATTTGACACCACAGTTATATATGCAATAAAGTGAATGAACTCTGCTAACAGAGTGCTATCTGATAAAAAGAATGCTCCTTGCAGGTATTTAGTGTTTAATCCCGTGATAATGGTTTGCCCTGGTTTGCCTAGGCAACATCAGACAGCATCTGGCTGCAGGCAACAGAGTAGACCTAGAAAGGTTTGAAGCTTGCAGACAATTTTCTCACCATTTATTTGTACTCAAATATTTAAAGAGACACAGTCAGAATGCTCAAATCCTGAAACAAAACTTTCTTTAAAACCAGGATATGTATCCCTTTCACGATCCGAATAAATGCATAAGTAAAAAAAGGCCTCATTATTATTATCATTATTGTTATTATTACAATACTTCATGGCTTCAATAAAGTCAAAGCTGTGGGATCAGGCACCCAAGAGTCAGCACATTTCAAACAGGTAAACTGATCTGGCAAACTTGGCTTTTGAATACTGAATGCTCTTTTCATGCAAATTAACAGCCAAGGGTGCCCTTGTACTGTTCATACTTCCCAAGGAGAAAAAATTCCCAAATGTTGTGCGGAAGTAACAGCACTGTACATTAAACTACATACAGAAATTCCTCACGTATAGATGTTCAACCAAGCAACCAAATGTCCTATCAGTGCTAGATGCTTACACACAATTTCTTTGATGGGATTTGCCCTCTCAAAAGAAGGAAAATGAGGTGGGCAACTGTCTCTTTAAGGATGGTGATAATTCTGTCTGTCTTCACCTTTTCGGTATATTTGCCAGTGTGCTGGAAAGTCAACACGCACCTCTGCAACAGACTGGAAAACAATCTCTTTTCTAACCCTGGTTAGAAATATACACCCATGTATATTTCTTCATCTGACTTTCACGAGCTTGAAAGTCTGTATGTTTCATCATAGGAGAAGAAAATACGTAAAGCCTACAAGTTTGGATTAGAAGTCTAACTATTTAGACAGCTAAACTTTAGTGAAAGTAATCTTATCATTAAGTCCCCAAAAATTCCATCAGGTGATGGAACAGAAAGAATTCTTGCACAAAGTATGAGGAAGACAGCACCATGTGCAAAAGGACAGAGACGGGAGTAGAACGAACAGACCAAGGTAGGCTTTGAAGCCCTTCTTTCACTAATGAAACTTGACCTTTGCTTTTAATGTAAACTCCAAATATGGCTCAGAGAGCAGCATGCAGACGCCCAAACTATCTGAGAGGTAGGCACCACCAGGATCAAGCCAGTACAGTAGATGCAGACCTGTGACCTTGGTGGCTACATCCATCCTGGTCAGGCATTGCACAACACTGTGACAGTATGTGACAGACTGGATCCATGCACCAAGGCCAATTGTACGAGGTTCAAAAAGGCCAAGGGCCAGGTCCTGCACTTTGGTCACAACTACCCCATGCAACGCTACAGGCTTGGGGAAGGGTGGCTGGAAAGCTGCCCAGCAGAAAATGGTCTTGCGGTGCTGGTCGACAGCCGGCTGAAGATGAGCCAGCAGTGTGCCCAGCTGGTCAAGAAGGCCAACAGCATCCTGGCTTGTACCAGGAACAGTGTGGCCAGCAGCAGCAGGGAGGTGATCGCACCCCTGTACTCAGCACTGGTGAGGCCGCACCTCCAGTACTGTGTTCAGTTTAGGGCCCCTCACTACAAGAAGGACACTGAGGTGCTGGAGCGTGTCCAGAGAAGGGCAACGAGGCTGGTGAGGGGTCTGGAGAACAAGTCTTACGAGGAGCAGCTGAGGGAGCTGGGGTTATTTAGTGTGGAGAAGAGGAGGCTGAGGGGAGACCTTATCACTCTCTACAACTACCTCAAAGGAGGTTGCAGTGAGGTGGGTGTTGGTCTCCTCTCCCAAGTAACTAACGCTAGAACAAGAGGCAACGGCCTGAAACTGTGTCACAGGAGGTTCAGACTGTATATTAGTAAAAATTTCTTTACTGAAAGAGAGATCAAGCATTGGAACAGGCTGCCCAGGGAAGTGGTTGAGTCACCATCCTTGGAGGGGTTAAAAAAAATGTGTAGATGTGGCACTTCAGGACACGGTTTAGCAGCTATGGTGGTGTTGGTTTGACGGTTGGACATTCTGATCTTAGACGTGTTTTCCAATCTTAATGATTCTATGACTCCCTTAATCTCCTCTGTACTATTAACATGAGTTGCTGGAAATCTGGCTTCTCAGCCACTAAAGTGCTTTTGGAAATTTTGTTAGAATCTTTCAGCACTGGTTCCTAATTAAATAAGTATCTAGCAGAGTTTATAAACTCTATAAACAGTTTTGTAGTCCATCACTAAGGTAACAGGAAACATCATAAAGCATCACAATTCAGAACAGCTCATGAAACATTCACCTTTTAAAGAGAAAACCAGTACAAAAATAAACACAAGTTGGCACAAAGCCAAATCCTTCTTCCACAGTATTTCTGTTTCACTGCTTGGGCAGCATGAATACAACTGAACATCTACAGGTGCATCTTACTTTGC